AGGACTCTGACAGGCTCTTTCATCATCTAGGAGGGGTGCCAACAGGTGCGTGCCTAGCTCCCTGCTGCAGCGAGCCCTTCAACACAATCACTGTGTAAAAACACAAGTGACCCAAAGCTCAACTATACACTCAGAACTTACTGTTTTTCTTTCCTTTTATACTTAGTTGGATATCGTAATAATCTTCTCTTCTATCAGAGCGGTAATCTACTTCCTTGCACTGGATGTAGGACTGTGAAGAAGCAAAGAGTGGCCTTCAGTGCTGGTCACATTCTCATTGTAACGTCGTTTAAAACCAGTAAGCTAGTGACCACATACCACCATTTTGCCTCTGAACAGCTTGGGGATGGTGCCTTCCACACACGTGCCTTTCATCTTATTCTCCACATTATCAAGCAACTGAAAGAGAGGGTTTGGACTTTGAAGTGTTTTATGCTTAAATGACATACAGTAATTTAATTCTTTACTAGGAAATGTCAATGGTCAAAGAAATTCAAGACTAAAAATATTATGACTTTTGGCATGCAATTATCAAAAAACAAAATCTTCTGTCTTGGTTGGATATTTACAAAATATCTACATGCAATAGTCGAGGTTAACCTTTTATATGGCCTTTGGAATGAATTAGTAATCTGTAGTGCCTTTAGAAGCATTTTTATATTCATTTTACCTCTGTGAAAAAGCATGTAAATTGATCACTAAACTTAACTCGTAATGGTCCACACCAAGAGATTAATGAGGTTGAGCCTGTCAACAGGATTGACTGGTTTGTCCATGGATATTTAATGAACTGGATTCAATCCAGCTAGTGCTGTAAAAAAGAAAACACACCTTGCCCAGCCAATCACCTTGAGGCACCAGCTCATGTGTGCATCTGTGTCTTTCCTCACCGGAAAGGAGCGTTTGCTAGTGAGGGAAGAGGGCGGGAGGGTCGCCAGCACACAGAGGCCTGCCTCAGTGGGACCTGGGGCGCGGGGGCTGGCAGCTGGGACGCAGTGGCGCCGCGGACCACTGGGACAGCCACCGGAGCCAACATGTTGGCTCCTGTCTCCCGAGAATTCACAAGTTAGAAGTCTATCGCCTACCGCTGCTTAAACCCTATCTTCAGATAAGTCAAATCATTCTTCCTAGCTTTTAAAACCAGACAGATGCTCCCTTTACTCTCTCTCTAGCTTAGGTTTGGCCTTCAACAGACAAACATGGCCGTTATCTGAAGGAGGGCTGGGGCTTCACTTGCTAGCAACATTGCTTCACAGTATTCACTGTAAGAACCACACAATTAGTGCTTGAAACTTACCACTCGACACAGCTCTTGAACATCATGTTGCATGAAGCTATCTAAAGTTTCCCACCTTTCAAAGATAAAATGGATATCTACATTTAAAACTCCACATTTCAAATGTATACATTAACAAGCAATGTAGATTCAAAATATAAATGGACTCATTAGCCATTTGAGAATATTCTCAAATTCATTTCTGTGAGGATTACTTTGGGGGATTACAGTTGATGTATATACTGTTCTCAAAGTCTTCCTGCGAGAGGAGGTGGTATCTCCAAGTTAAGTTTTCACACATTTGAAAGTGACATGTATTCAAGTGTTCTGTTTCCAAAGAGGTAAGAGGAGAAACAGGATACAGCAATAGCAAGACTGAGCAGCACACGGCGACCCCAGGCTGCGTGCCTCCTCTCCTTCTGCACTGTTTGTCCCAGACCATACAGCAGTGGGAGGTGGGGGCCGGGAGGGGTGGCAGGCTGGGATACGCACCCAAAGGACTTGGTCAATTTCTTAGTTCCTACAGGCTTGTCGCTGTGCTGTAGCTCGTAGAACACTCTTTGCAATGCTAAAGGGACACTTTTAGAAGAGTCGTCACCCTCAGTTGGCATCATGTACACAGCCTAGGAAAATCAACATACAAACAGGTACTTAATCGTAGGTCAAAGTTATGTCTACTATCTCAAGGGCTAAGGTAATTGCTAGGGCTTTTGAGCAATCCAAAAGAAGTCTGAAAGTTTGAAAAATTAATGAATCTCTTTAGAGAGACAAGGAAGCAAAAAGAATTGTTAAAATTACCCTTACACCTCCCCACCCAACAAGAACCACATTCATTCGCCTTCCCACTCCTGGAACATTACTTTTAGCTACCATCAAATGTGAGCAATGGGGGCTGGGAAGGTGGCTCAGTGGTAGAGCACTTGCCTTGCATGCTCGAGGCCCTGGGTTCGATTCCTCAGCACCACATAAGCAAAAAGAAAAAAGCCAGAAGTGGTGCTGTGACTCAAGTGGTAGAGCACTAGCTTGCGCTAAAGAGCTGAGGGACAGTGCTCAGGCCTAGAGTTCAGGCCCCACGACCGGACCCTCCCCCCCCCGAAAAAAAAACAAATGTGAGCAAAATTTTTGTGAATGTAGATGGTACTAGCTGTACCCCATTAACTATTCCCTTACACACCGCACCCCACTGCAGCTCTATGTGCCTGGGACCCCCACCAAGTCTCAGTGTATCACGGTCTAGGCAGGAGTTTGTGCAGGAAGCAAGACCAAATCCTAAAAGTAACTAGCAAAAGAACAGGACTGGGATATAGCTCAAGTGATAGAGCACCTGCCTAGAAAGCAACAGGCTAAATTGTGTGTGTGTATGTTGGGAGGAAACACAATTACAGGAAGTCTGTAAAATTACAATGGCTCTAATAAACCTGATCTTGTAGGTGACCTCACTCAGCAGCTGCCCCAAGGAGAAGGAGAGCATCTGCAGAGGGCTCAGTTGGACACTGATATACTAGACAGAACACGGCGGACACAAGGTCCACTTACCTTTCGTAGTTGATTTGTGAAAAATAAAGTCTGCAGCAGGCTGTTCATGTAACAAGTCGCTCCCTGATTCTTCAAGCCAACATAGCCAGTGTGCTTCTTTGAGTCCCACCTGGAAGATTAGTTAAGCTTGAAGGGAGCTGCACAGGCTACCTTGTGACTACCAGGTGGAGGGGGGCACCCCTACTGTCACCACTGAACATCCCAACATGCCCCTCCCCACCAAGTCTGAGAAACCTAGGCCTGAGGGCACGGCGTAAATTCATGTGTCTACTGACCACTACCGCTACCCACATTTATCAAGACCAGCACCCACAGATTCTGACTACATACAACATACTTATATGAACTGTGGTTTACAGAACAGGCTTAGTACACACAATCACAAAGCCACATGCTTTATCATCAGCACCTCCCCTGCCTCCCCAGGGCTGGGTTTTATAACCAGCATGCTTCAAAATAAAGGCATGGCACCTCTGTCGTGCTATTTACACACTGCCCTTTGCTTCTCTTCCAAAGCAGCCTGCTTTGTTTGTGGCTCTCAAGCCTACAGCTATCCTTTGTGCCTGGCAGTGAACGGCACCAAGGAACAGCTCTGTCTTCCCGTCACATGAGGGGAAAGGAAAACAGCACCTATTACCTTGGGCCCTGGATACAGTGAAGGGCACACGGAAACTGACAAGGCACCAATGAGTTGTGCACATGCATCCTTAAATATGTTCTAATGCTTGTTTTTTTTTTGCCAGTCCTGAGCAACTTGATCCTTACTTAAGGGAAGATTTTAATTAGGGTGTTTTGCATACAATTTGCCTCGTCAAATTGGAAATATTAGTGAGGACAAACTAAAGTGTTGTGTTGTTTTGCCAGTCCCAGAGCTTCAACTTAAGAGCCTGGGCACTGTCCCTGAGCCTCTCTGTGCTCAAGGCTAGCACTCTACCACCTGAGCCACAACACCATTTCCAGCTTTTTCTGTGTATGTAGTACTGAGGAATTGAACCCAGAGCTTCATTCACGCTAGGCAAGCACTCTACCACTAAGCCACATTCCCAGCCCCACAAAAGTACTTTTAATAGTGAACAACTTACGCAACTCCATGGGGTGCATCTGCTTGTACAAAGACTTCAAAAGTAACTTTGTCATCATCTATAAATCCTTTCTCAGGATCAGTCACTTCCTATAAAAGAGAAATGGAAATATCCAACTTGCATAAAAACACACATGCTTCCTTTATTCCCAGGACAATTACACACGTTCTAACTTATACTTTAATGTTCCAAAACATCCCAGTTTTGCCTACAGTTAGAACATGCTTGTTTTGGGCTGGAAAGGTGGCTCAGTGGTAGACCGCTTGCCTTGCATGCCTGAGGCCCTGGGTTCGATTCCTCAGCACCACATAAGCAAAAAGAAAAAAGCCAGAAGTGGAGCTGTGGCTCAAGAGGTAGAGCACTAGCCTTGAGCTGAAGAGCTGAGGGACAGCGCCCAGGCCCAGAGTTCAGGTGCCATGACTGGACCCAAAAAACAAAAACAAACAAAAAAAAGAACATGCTTGTTTTGGTTTTAATCTTGTCTCTGAGGGCTGGGAAGGTGGCTCAGTGGTAGAGTACTGGCCTTGCATGCATGAGGCCCTGCGGTCATTCCTCAGCAGAAAGAAGCCAAAAGTGGTGCTGTGGCTCAAGATGTAGAGCACTAGCCTTGAGCTGAAGAGCTGAGGGACAGCGCCCAGGCCCAGAGTTCAGGCCCCACGAACCACCATGAGAAAAAAAAAAAAAAAGCTGAATAAGAAAGCCAAATACCAGCCCAAAAGATCACACACTCGCTCTAAAGTGAGTAGAGAATCCTCTGAAGTGTGGAGCAACAGTGCTCCATTACTTACGCTCCAGGCCATAAAGTTGGAAAATCCCCAGTCATTCTCCTTGTGGAAGAACAGGTGGCTAATCCGGCGGCTGAATGACTTCTCGTCGTCTCGATAGTTTATTATCTTCAGCACAGCTTGTGCATGGCAGGACCACGACCTGGTGAGAAAACAATCTAAGCCTTAGCTGACGTGTCCAGCTCACATCTGCACGTCGTCACGACGCTGGAAACCCGCACATGAAAACTTCCTTACATTGAGTGGTGGAGGTGTGGTTACCTTTCTAGGGAAATGCTCGGGCTTAACTCATGGCCTTTCCAAAACCATTTGGTTTGCCACAGACTTCCCAGTTTTCCAGTTATATCTATGAAAGTACAAGCTTGTGAACTTTAGATCTTGTCTTAATTCTGTAATTGGCTACAATTAAGCGGGAACTGTAGTGCTTACTGAACACCCACACCGTCCTAGGTTTGCTGCCCAAGACTACACAAAAATGAAAAGGGCTGGAGGCCTAGCCTCCCACATGGCAGCACCCCTGGCCTTGCTCCTGCCTGTGACATGGGTTCTTGTAGCATGCCTGCTGGGGGGGGGGGGGGTGTTTGCTGAACAGGTACACAACAGCGTACACAACTATGTGTGGGGCTGATGGTGGATGGGTCTCAGCACAAGGGCTTTGAAACCTAATGGGTGTCCTGTCCCACTTTAAGCTCGCTAACCAAGGTTTGTGGCTGAAAGCAGGGCCATGTGCATTAAAGTTGCCACTGGCCTGAGAAGCGGTTTCAGCCTCTTTAAGAAGGGCAGGAACAGCACTTTTGCTGAAGACATCTATGGGATACCGACAGTTCACTCTTCCCTAACTACTAATGCAAGTCAAAGTTTACATCTGAAGACAAACCCATGATCAAATCATCACATTGCACAGGAGAAAGAGAAATTCCCACCTATAAAAAGGCTCTAGCTTCATCTAACATTGGTTTGGCCAACTGACTACAGTGCTGGGGAAGGAACTAGGGCCTTGCATGTCCTAGGCCAGTACTCTTTGCCACTAACCCGAATTCTAGTCCAGCCAAGCACTTACATACTAACGGAAGAAAAAGAAAAGGAGCTGTGCTTCCAGGAGCGGTCCCCAGGCCGTGCTGGGACACTGGGCGGGGTAAGGTCTGAAGCAGCAGCTCTCCTGAGGCCCTCCATGGAGAGGAGCAGAGCAGGCTACATTTCCCTACAAATCTGTCACAGGGCTTTCTGACAGAAGTGAGATCCATCAATGCTGATGATCCAATCAATGGGCAGAACTTTTGTTTACAAAGGAGAGTCACCAAGATCTTCCTTAAACTTTAGGACATTTGACAATGCACCTGCTTTGAAAAAAATTACCCAAACCAATTTTTCCTCCTAAGTCAGAATCTCTGTCCTAAATGTCAGTGTTTTTTTTTTTGGGGGGGGGGGCGAGGGAATACGGATGTAGTCATGGGCTTGAACTCAGGGCCTGGGCACTATCCCTGAGCTTTTGTTCAAGGCTAGTGCTCTACCACTTTTAAGCCACAGCTCCATTTCCAGTTTTTGAGTGATTAATTGGAAATAAAAGTCTCAGGGCGACTCATCTGCCTGGGCTAGCTTTGAACCACGATCCTCAGGTCTCAGCCTCCTGAGTAGTTAGGATGACAGGCGTGAGTCACCAGCGCCTGGCATGTAAATGTTTTACTCTGTACGAACAGAATGATCCAAGAGGATTGAGCTGTCAAGAGTACAGACATCTGGCTCTAACCTCTGAGCCACTGGCAGAGCGGAAGGCGGCTCTCCAAGGCCTGGTCGACACCCAGCTTCAGTTTTCCATTTGCAAAGAAAAACATACTTTTCTAGTTTAGACAGGACATACCAGATACCTTTAAGCAGATCTATTTCTTCTAATTTTAAATCAGAGGGCTATGTAGAGGTAGCAAGAAAATTGAAAATGAAACTGAGTACAGCTGATCAAATTTGGCTTCCAATAAAGGTAATGTAACTATTTGTGGATTTGTAGTTGCATCATTTAAACTCTTACGTGGAGTCAGATTCAGCATTGCACTGGAGAAAGAATCCTACGCTTTTTTGGTGTGGTCTGTCTGGATAAAAGCGTGGCATCACCATAATCTTCCATGGCAGATTTCGCACAAAACACGGAGGGCTAAGGACCGACTCACTCAGTCTGCTGAAGCGCTCGACGGTGAACTGAAAGGTTGCCTCGGAGCGCCAACTGGTGTCTGCAAGAAAACATGCCATCAATCACAGTGCTGGGCACCCGGCACCAATGGGAAGCACGCACATACGCTGGTGTAACCTGCTCTACAAAATCTCAACAGCTAAGCTTTTGGGGAAATGAGTGTCGCGTCCAGATCATTCAAAGGTCTCTGTAGGAGCAGAGCCTTCCTGACCCAGTGGGGGCAGCACACCTGCCTTCTGTGGAGGCTCAAGAGGTCAGGGTGGGAACATCTATTCTAGTATCTTCATCCCTGAGTAGCAGGCCTGGGCACCGAGTGAGCAGACACCTGGAGAGGAAGAAGGTCACAGCTCACTCTGCTGGTCAGTGAAGATGACACAAGCCATGACAGGGGAGGAGCGGTGAGCCCAATGGTGTTTGAGGACCTGGAGGGGACCGGCCACTGCTTGGAAGTACAGCATCTCTAAAGGCAAGAATATAGCTAGGCCAGTCTAAAAATACATGGCAATGTCCATCTTGTCCCACTTTTGTGAAAACTCAGCTTAGACTCCTCCTTATGACAAGGGTGGGAACATTTTTTTTTCCCTGAGCCATACAAAATTATCAGTATAGGCAGACAGGTGCAACCGGCCAACAAGAAGCATAAAGAAGCATTCGAGTCTGTCCTGTCATGCACCAAATGGTTCTTTTGTGCCTTCTATGGCCTGCAAGCTGGAGGTTCCCCACCTGCCTCTTGGGAATACTTTTTGCAAGGTAGGAGTCTGACACTCTTTTCAACATGAAATAGTAAGTATTTTACATTGGTTTCTCCAATATAGCTCAACTGAAAGTCTCAATGTAGAAGTCCACTACCTTTTGCAGGTGACCAGGTCACTCTGCATGGACAGGGCAGTCTATCTTACTGTCTACTTTTCAAACCACTCTGAAGGAGTCCTTGTCCCCAGTCACGCTATCAAAGCTGTGAAAGCAACATTTGTTGTGTACAAGGCAACTGCCAGAGTTGGATGGCTACAGAAACTCTGAGGGCCAGTGTTCCTGTTCTGTGCCTGTCCCACTGAGCAGGGAAGAGCTCAGCGGACGGCAGGGACCAAGGGCACCCTGAGGGTGCTACTGACATCCCTGACCAGGGAGCCCCCAAAGCAAAGGCAGTTGGCTTGGGTAAAGAGCACCCCGAGCCTGCAGGCCTCTGAGGGCCGCCTCCCTGAGACCCACAACTGCACCATCTCCCAGCTGCACACACACCACCCAAGGCCTCCGAGAGGCTGCCGGGAATGTGCAAATGAGCTTGTTCTTTAGAAAACATGTCCATCAGTCCTCACGAGAGGGGATTCTGTACCAAAGAAATAAAAGCCCAAGTCTTTGTGACCATGAGGATAGTTTCCCCTGCTTTCCCCCATACCCTAAGGCTCACAGCAGGGGCCTTGGGAAGGAGAGCAGCCCAAAAGGGAGTACCCCATCCAAGGGCCGATAGGGCTGGAGTCTGTTCAAAGGCTCTTTGAGGGGTTAAGTATACTAAAAGAAGAAATCTCTTCATGACAATGTCTAAAATGACTTAGGAAAAAAGTTTTACCACTCATTTTTATGGGCACACAAATCAAACGAGCAGCACTGAAATCCTCACAGTAGATCAGTGTAGACAGGACCCAATTCCCCTTTGCAGTGAGGAAACACTTTGTACATGGTCTCACCAGAATGGTGGGACTGCTGTACTGAGCATGATGCTTGTGCCTTTGGTTTCAAATGCACTCCCCAGATGCAAAGCTTTACAGAGACCGCACACACAAGACCCGCCAGGTTCTTTGGGAAGGTTACACCTCTTCTACTTCATGTTCTTTGTGTAACTTCGATCTGTAGGGTTACAGTTTTACATAAATAAAACTAATACAAGCTGGGCACCAGTGGCTCACACTTATAATCCTAACTACTCAGGAAGCCGAGACCTGAGGACTGTAAATCTATGAGACTCTTATCTCAAACAAAAAGATTAAGTAGCAGAAGACCAGAAGCAGAGCTGTGTCTCAAGTGGGACAGTGAAAAGGCACAGTATCTAGTCCCTGAGTTCAAGTCCTAGTATTGGTACAAAAACATAAATAAAACCATTCTTTTGCACCCCTCCTTCCACCAGGCAAATTACTGAATTATTTTTGATTAAAAAAGAAACTGAGGTACCTACTACTGCCACCTTACTCCTGCAGTTCTAGCTCGTACAAGGCTGAAAGGCAGCTCTAAGACCTGACTGTGGTTCTATGTTAGCCAGGCACACCAATCCCCAAGACACTTATCTCCAACTAACCAACCAAAGCCCAAACTGGAGGGATGGCTCAAGTAGTAGAGTACCAGCTGTGAGCAGAAAAAGCTGAGCAAAACTAAGAGGTCCAGAGTTCAAGCCTCAGTACCAACACTAATCTCCCTCCCAACAAAACCAGAGAAACAGTGGTGAAACTCAGTGGTGTCAAGCCACATGGTACCGCGGTGTGGTCCGTCCTCAGTACTCAGCATTTCGTTAAATGTCACACTGCATTCCTGCACTGAAGCACATTCTTACAACAAGCTCGTCTTACAAAGTTCCACACAAAACCTCACCTGAATAAATGCCAGCACACAGGATGTATCAGTGTTAGAGCAATGCTTATTAGCATGTGTGAGGCCCTGAAGCCTACCCCCACCACCAAGAAAATCCACTTCAGTGGCTCTAAGAGCCACATACTAATAGAACAATTGAGAATTTAAATACCAAACAGAAGGCTACAAAAAAAGAGACACAGACTTGAAACCCATCTGTCTGGAAAACCAGTGGATCACCCTCCCATGAAAAATTCCATAAGCCTGTAAACACTTTTGCAACTTTTGATGAGTTTAGGATTCTTTCATGTTTTAAAAATTAAAAATAAAGGGCTGGAAGGGCTGGAACTGTGGCCTAGTGGTAGAGTCCCGAGTTCTTGCCTAGTGAAGCCCTGGGTTCGATTCCTCAGTACCACATAAACAGAAAAAGCTGAAAGTGGTGCTGTGGCTCAAGTGGTAGAGTGCTAGTCTTGAGGAAAAGAAGCTCAGAGAAAGTGCTCAGGCTCTAAGTTCAAGCCCCAGGACTGGCAAAAAATAAAATAAAAATAATAATATAGTAAGCAACTGTAACCCCGGACCCTCCTGTCCACCCCCAGCAGCGCTCCAGCGGCGTTCCAGCCTACCACTCTCCTCAGACGCCCTGACAACCCACCAGTGCCAGCAATCATGAGATGGGCCCAAAGCTCCCAATCTCATCTCAGGACAGAAGGCCACTCCAGGCCTCAGTCATGTGACCAAAGTAAAAAAGGATGCAACGCTTCAAGATTTAGAATGGAAGAGACTTCTCCTAATGATGATCTAACTATCTAAGGAACACAGGTACCTGAAAAATGTTAAGATGCAGAGTAGATATCGCTAGAAAATAAATCTGATATCTTCCCATTATTCTAGCAAGGTTTGAAACATTCTCATTTTCGTTCTCCTACCCATGTCTCCACTGTCCTAACAAGAACACAGTTAGACACTGATAACATGCCTCTGCGGCCATGCGTGCAAGACTGAAGCCGGAGGGGCTCAGTTCAAAAGGGCCGGCCTGGGCGACACAAGGAAAACCCTGGGTTCTCAGGAAACAGCACAGCAGCTACCCGGGTGTGCGTCCTGGTTTGACACGCTTGCAGGGTCTGGGGGACCACTAACACGTCTAGTGTGGTGAAGCATGAGAGCAGAGCCATGCCCTGCCACAGCAAAGGGCCGGGCCCAGCCCAGAGCTCCTCCAACGCTCACAGCGCGGGTCGTGGCTGCCTGCCTTCTCCCTCCTTTGGGTCTGCCATCCCAAAGATGGGAAGAACCATGGCAGTCCTTGGGCCTTTGAGAAGGCAACTCCAACTCCACACCACAAGACTGCACCTAGGAGACTCCTATACCTCCCCACCTGAGAGCCACAACAGGGGCATTTCTACCAGTAACCCTGTAAAATCTCAAGAGCAAGAGGATTTTGCCTGTCTTATGCCCTTATACAATGATTCTCAACCGAGGTGACCCGGGCCCCCAGGAGACTCCGGGCCACATCTAGAGCCAATTCTGGTTGACACGTGCAGGTGGGTGGGGAATGGGGGTGGAGGTGGGGTTACTGGCATTTTGTAATGCACAGGACAGTGCTGCACTCTATGTACAACCATGCTTCCCCCAACCCTCTTCCTAAGGGGGAGGGAGCTTCATCATCGAACTGCACTGGGAGAGCTGACCGGGTGGGGCCAGTTACTGCTCCACATGTGACCCAAGTTCAAGTTGCTCCCAAATGCACGCCTGACTCCTTGGCAAGGCCAACTTCCCAAAGGTACTCTCTGAATCACTCTCGGCATCTCTGGAGTCCGAAAGCCCAACAGCCAACGAGACCACGCCCACACCATTGCCCTTGCCCTTCTTCTACGGTGGAAAGCGCACTCCACGGGGAACAAAGCAGCGGGTGCAGCCCACGCCTCTTTACCTTCCTCAGATATTGCCTCAGCCAGCTGCCAGGGGAAAACCGCACTGTGAGAGAACTCTCAACTGCGGCTGCAGTTTCGCATGGAGGCTGAACTTTTGGCAGGAGGTCTGACAGCAGTCCTTCTGGTGGTGCAGCCCGTGCCTGATGGTTTCTTTCAACTGCCCCGTTACTCCCCTGGGAAGGACACAACCCTCATGAGGATTGATGGACATGCTTGTACAGAACATGGTTTCATATAACACTGCAAGATTCCAGGGGCTGCATAAAGCTCCCTTCAGGGGATTTTCGACCTTGCAAATGTTTGGGTCACATAATCTGATAAATTATAAGAAGAAATAGTCTCCATGGAAAAAAAAAGATGTCCTAGAACACAAAATGCCCATGCATGTACATATGCCTTTACACGTAGAAGCTACCGTTGAAAGTCAGTGGGGAATGGGAAGCCCAAAGCTTGACTGACTGTCCTCCTGCCCGGGGTGGGGTTCTTAGCTACAAGTGGCCGCTAGACGCTACAGAGAGAATGCAATGGAAAGCCAAATCCCAATGTCTGGAAGTAGCTTGCTGTAAACAAAAGGGAAGAAGGAGGAAGGTCTGCTCATCGCCTGAGTGCTACCATGACTGGAGAATGGCAGGTGCGGTGGACGCCCACTCACTACAAGTCTGGAGTTGAACCTTTATGCTTATGCTGGGGAGAAACAACTTACCTTGAAGTTTTACAGGCAGCCAGGAAACTCAAAACAAAAATAGGAGCTTACATTTCTCTTCTACCATACTGAGAACTAGCTACTCTGAAGAAGCTCACAACTGCTCAGGGATGGAGTCTGTGCTCGCGGCTGAACTCCGCTGCTGTGAGCAGGCCTGGCGCACTTACCATCCTCCATGTCCTCTTCCGCATTGCTGTGCCCGTCACTCAGGGCCACATTCCCATTGATGACAGGATTCTGAGTAATTCTTGGCGGGTCATCTGTATCTCCAGCTTTAACAAAAACAAAGACATCCAACAGGTTTGACATTCTCAGCTTGGACCACACTGTAAATAAATATACATATATATATGTATATACATACATATATATATATATGTATATATACGCACACACATATATATTTTGACAATTTGTAGTGATAAATTCGAATTGAGCCCTAATAAAAAAAAATCATTCTAATCCCCAAAGCATTCATTATTGTATTTACTAAATATAAATAGGACTCTCTTGCTTCCAAAACTAAATGCAATTGGCCACACTGTAAAATCTCCTCTGTATGAAATTACACTTATATAATTATGGTTTGGGGGTACGTGAAAGTGTTTTAAATGGATCTTTTAATGCTACAATGGTTAAATGGCTTAGATTTGAAAAACTATATAACTGATGTGGAAAGTTAATTTTGCAACACATTTCCTAATTAAGACTTGATCCTGGAGAGCTGGAGATGTAGCTCAGGGGCGAAGCTCTTGCCTAGCATGCACAAGGTTCTTGGTTTGATTCTCAGTGCCACAAGAAAAAAAATTTTTTTTAAAAAAGCCCAAACTTAGTCCTATAGACTGTTTTGTTGAGAAGGCCAATAAAAAACACACAAATACGGTATATTCAAGAAGCATTTAGCTGAGCACCAGTGGCTTACACCTGTAATTCTAGCTACTCAGGAGGTTAGAAAACCGGAAGTGGCACTGTGGCTCAAGTGGTAGAGTGCTCGCCTTGAGCTGAAGAGCACAGGGACTTGCTAAGACCAGAGTTCAAGCCCGATTACCCACAAAAAAAAAAAAAAAGAAGAAGAAGAAGAAGAAGAAGCATTTAAACATCTAAAACTGTGGTGATGAAGCATGTTCGGAAAACTGATTCACAGAGGGTATAAACACTCCCAACGCGAGCATCTTAAGCACTATTTTCATCCACTGATGAAACGTAACACGTCTGAAACTTTTAAGAATAAAATAAGCGCTGGGAGCTGGTGGTCCAGGAGGCTGAGATTTGGGGATCATATTTCCAAGCCAGCCTGGGCAGGAAAGTCCATGAGACTCATATCTCCAATGAATGACCAAATGTGGAGCTCTGGCTCAGAGTGGTATACTGTAGCCTTGAATTAAAGAGCTCACACATACATAAGCACCCAGTCCCTGAGTTCAAGCCCCATAACCAACCAAAAAAGAAAAAAAAAGCTCTGTGTGTGTGTGTATGTGTGTGTGTGTGTTGTTGTTGTTGTTGTGAGGGTCTTGCTATACAGCTCAGGCTGGCCTCAAACTCAAGATCTACCTTCCTTAATCTCCCAATACGCTCAGATAATATGTGTGTACCACAATGTCCAAACTTTATAGAAAAAGTTTAAATACTAGCCATTGAATTCACCAGTTATTTCAGAAGTGTGATGCAACCAGTGACGACCCTTACGTTGCGCTGAGAATTCCTCGGCACACCACCCATTGCAATAGAAATTGTTACATGTCTGTGCAAACAGAAGGCATGTTACTCTAAAGAGCAAGGTAGCTGGTCTCTGGCCTTCCCAGCTTCAGAGCATTTCTGCCACCAAGACCAAAAGGCTATCTTATTCAGCACCACGGACAGTGCCATACCCTTCTCCCTAAATCCCAGCTCTGCAGTTACACGATGAAGACCTCTACATGAAACCACACATCCTTCTCTTGCACATCTCAGAAACTCTTCAAATAAAGAAACAAAGCTGGGTGCCAGTGACTCACACCTGTAACCCTGGTTTCCGCAGGTGGCTGAGATCTGAGAATCGAGGCTCAAAAAGCTAGTTTGGAAGGTAAGTCTGGGAGACTCATCTCCAATTAACCACCAGAAAACTGGAAGTGGAGCTGTGGCTCAAACTGGGAGAACACTAGCCTTGAGCAAAAAAAAAAAAGCTTGGGGACAGTGACCAGCAAAAACAAACACACACACACACACACACACACCCCTAAAACTTATGGCAATTATTAAAAAACTACCACCAAGGGGCTGGAGGTGTGGTACACTGGTAACAAGAGGCTGCTTATGAAGCATGAAGCCCTGAGTTCAAACCCCAGGACAGCCTCTCCCCTCAAAAGAGGTATTTAAAAAAAAAAAATCAATGCCACATAATGGTTGAGGGAAGCCCGCTGTTTTAAAACACTGCCTCCGTCTTTGATGAAGCCGCTTCCTCTGCAGCTGGTACCTAAAAGCCAAGGGAACAAGTAGAGGTCTACGACTGAACGTATGCTCCCTTTTGGTGGATCTGTGGTTTGAACTTCAAGTGCTCTACACCATTGGAGTCCCATCCCCAGCCGTTTTGCTTTCTTCTTCAGATAGGATCCTACTCTTTCGCCTGACCTGGTGGTACTGTTGGGGCCCTGGAACTAAGGGTAAAAAAAAACAGGTCATGGAGCGCTTGCCTGAGTGCGCAAGGCACCGGGCTCGACTTCCAGCACCACAGAAGTCCTTGACACGCTACGTGTCTTTAAGAAGAGAAGTACCATTCAAAAGCAGCACACTCAGAAATACAATTACAACCCTCTTCATTACTCCTACAGCACAGAGCATTATTCTGTATGTTCATTAAAAAGGCACAAAATACCCATTTCTCAGAAACGTAAGACTATGTTTCTTCTTTACTGAGAAGCCTTTGCTTGTGTTCAGCCTTTTCCTGCTGACTTCCACTTGTGATGTCATAACAGAACCACGATGTCACCAAAGAACACTTGCCAATTGCTATGGAAATAAGCTGGCATGGTGGAGCACCTGACTCCTCCCTGGGCAAGAGGAAACGCTTCACAGAACAGCCAGCCTCCAGCTCCTCGGACGCCGGCCCTGCTCAGTGCTGGCCTGGCTCGCCTGTGACATTTTCCTGTCACCTTACAAAGATTTACCAATCTCTTCTCTAAAAAGGTCCGGGTAGGGGAAAGACAACGCAAACATCTCAAGTAAACGTGACACGGCCTTCTAAGCAAGGGTCCACGCACCACCATCAGGGGTGCCTTGGCTGTAAAGATACGTCTGCCTCCTGTCCATAATTGTCTTCACTCACAGATTCTCCCCTGTAGTGATAATTTACCTAGTGTTCCAACAGCAGCTGGTAGTCCTTGGGCTGGTCAAATGTCACCCTTAGCACACCATCCCCAACCTACCTATCCACTCACCTCCAACGCCAAGTCACAACCCCTCTGGGGTGGTTTTCTGCCTGACCTCTCCTTTTCTCCTCCATGGTACTCCTACATATTACTTAACATGCCACATGTCAAAACAAATGAGAGGTATCACTTAACACTCTAGCCTGATAGAATGTGATTGGTAATCCCAAATACACTTAAGAATAACTGAGAAATAAAGTCCTGAATCACCTTCCGGCCCCAGCCTGCGGTTTCCAGCCATGTCTCATGGCTCTGCAGCCGAGACTGGGGGTGGGGTCCCCCACAGAGTGACTGCATAGAACCTCTGGGGCCTATACCTCAGCATTCTTTTTTCTTTTTTAAAAGCATCCTACAAATTTCTTTAAGTCCAGACCAGTTCATAAGTCCAGACAGATGATGTGAAGTGGTCCAGAATCACAGTGAGGGTGTGAGTGGAAAACCAGTGAAATCCCCAAAGAAAAGCCTATCTCCCAGGTCCTTTCCAACACCAGGGCACTGCTGAGCAAAACACACCAGGCCCGAGAAGCAGCATGTCCCAGGGCTGGTGCCCTCATTGGGACAACAGAGCTCTAGTGATGCAAACATACCTATGAATGCTAGTTTCATGCTTGCTCCTCCAGCCAAGCTAGACCCAGGACCAGACCTGCAGTCCCAGCTGCTCCTCCAGGCTGAAATGGAGGTCTGGAGCCAGACTGCATGCTTTCACGGTAGGGTACTAGCTTTATTGTAAGCAGGGTAGAGCAAGAACGAGACATACTAAGTTCAAGCCCCAGAAGAGGCACAAACAAAATAAAAAGGTGTACATACTCCCAATACAACCTGTGCTCCTGCACAATTTCGACTCAAGTTGTACTGAAGTCAAATGATGGATCCACCGGCAGCTCTAAGATACACACAGAGAGAAAGGCCGTGAGCCGCTTTCCTAATTCCCCCCCAGTGCCATCTTGCAAAAACTCTAGCACACCACCACCACCGTCAGAATACTGAACAACTACCACTTGGGCTCAGCTGCAGTGCGTGTGCAGCTTTGTGTCTGCTACCAGTCAAGACTCCCACACAAGGCCATCGCCAAGCCTTTCATGACCACGCCACCTCCATCATTCCCGGAAAACCTAAATTGCTCCCTCTTGTCATTTCACAAATGGTCCCATGGTTCATGCCAATGTGCTCCTTTTTACTGCTAAGCAGGGAAGACAATACCCTGTGAGCTGTGGGTGTCTCTGGTTTAGGGTCTTACAAGTAAAGCTGCTATATGCATTTCCCCATGGGTCCTGGTTGCACAGATGTTTGTACTTTTGGACTTTGAAAGAATGAAATAAATGTTCAAGCAAGTATATGAGTCTGCAAATGAGGCCCCATGAAGGATGGAAGAAAGTTCTTAAGCCAATTCCAACCTTCCTCTGTTCACACATGCACGTGCAATGTACATGTACTTGTACTCAGGAAGCAAACAGTACACTGACCACAGAAAAGGCAGAATTATACCGTTTCTAGCCTCAAATAAGGATACATATACATATGCACAAATATGACTAAGGATTTATTTTATACCACTGCTAAAACGTGATGGCATGGTAGACTCAATGGTTCTCCTATGGGTGACTATTTCCAACTTGCCAAACGCCATCACAAGTGACTTCTAACACGCTGAGCTGCATTCCAACCCCCTCCCCAAAAGACAGCCAAGCCTTTTCAAATAATGGCAGCCATGCCTCTGAAGTACCCTAAATGGTGCTGAATGCTGAGCACATGAGCAGGCTCCTGCATCGGGCTTGCTAGCCCTTCCAGAAAGCAGCTCCAGCTGCACCTGCTACACCACCCAGCTGTTCCAGTCCACAACATGCCTTCAGGTGACGAAACCTAGG